CAGCATGCTCGGTACAATCATTGTCGTTTTTGTCTTTTTTCTTCCCTGCTCCCTTGCTGCTGGCCATGGTAGGTATTTTATATCGTGACCTTTGATTGGATTTTGCTTAACCTAATCTGACGATTTCTTTACTATATATCTTTCCTAGCTAAGAAAAATATATATCTTACTTTATTGGGATCTGTAGAAGTGGCTATGGATAATTCAACCCTACGAAAATAAAGGCTGATATATAGTTTCGAAAGAAACTGTTTGCGGCTGCGTCGGTGGGGGTAACGAAATAATTTGGATATATCAACAAAGTTGAAATGGTAAATTGGCCACCGTAACGATTACAAAAGCTGACGTTTCGATGGCCAATTTACCATTTCAACTTTGTTGATATATCCAAATTATTTCGTTACCCCCACCGACGCAGCCGCAAACAGTTTCTTTCGAAACTATATATCAGCCTTTATTCGTTTCTCCGAAGTCCCGGTCACTTAACTGGCCCGTAAAGCTGTTCTGTTTTCATTCAAGATGGGGATTTCAAAAGTTTTGAAAATGATACAAGAAAAATATCAGTTAAACAAACAAAAAAGATCGGTTTGGGTGCCAGAACCTGCTTTCCTATCCTTTTAATTTTGATTTTCAAACATGGCTTCGGGCCCGTTAAGTTACCGGGACTTTCGAGAATCGGGCCCCCGGTCCGAGTTGTGACGAAGCTGAAACAGATGTTCTCTTTACGACACGACTATCGCAAATGAAATCAGTGGTAGTTTTTAGTTTTCGCATTTTAAGGAAGAGATAAGGAACAAAGGAGATTTTAGGATAAGGCGGTGTCAACAAAAGGCAATGGTTACCACACATAAAATGCGTTTACAATTAGCTATAGCAGTAAGTTGAAATTTATTTACAATTAACTCAGAACCGTTTAGGAGGGAAAAACTGTTTAAACAAAATGCTTTTAGTTCAGACTCGCTTAATGCTATACCAGGTGGTTGCAAGCCCACAATGTTCCTGTCCCCTTATTGGCCTGCTTCGATGTAAAATGATAAAAATTCAAGGGAAACGCTTATTGGATTCTGAAATAGAAGCTTTTATGCAAAATACTCGTCAGCTTCATCCTCTTTTAAATTGTTCTTGCTGTCGCAGAAGTTTTATTTTTAGTGACCCTATAATTTGATTGGAAAGAGTCATTAAATTGGCAGAGGTCGACAGAGAGAAACATTGAGAAAGGTATTATTATTATTATTATTATTATTATTATTATTATTATTATTATTATCAACTCAGTTGATGAAACCAAAATTACCAAGTTACTCCTTGAGGTAGACAGAAAGAAGCTATTGCCGGATGGTTCAATGAAATACATTTATGTTGCTAGCTGACAGACTTTCAAGATAGTTTTAGCAAATAAGTATCGATGGGACGTTTTATAAGTGAGTCTCCTTCGAGAAGATCGTCTGAACCATCACGCGATAAGCTCTAGGTTCCTCAGTGCGTTGCGTGACGAGCTTGAGGTATAGCTCAAAAGGAGATCTTGGTTCTTCTGGAAATCCAAACAATTTTTTTTTAGTCCTACGTTCGTCACTTTTTTTATGTGTATCTTTACGAAGTGAAAAAGTAGCCAATGCTAGGCCCTCAGTCAATGAAGATAAGCGAAAAAGCAGGTGGGCGAAAGATGGACGGAGAACCGGAAGGAACTTTTTTATCCTTATCGAGACCACAAAACTACCTTTTTAAGGAGGAGACTAAACCAAATTAAAAATATGGGAAAATAAATCACCAAGGAAAGAGTTTGGTTTACGATGAAGCGGGATCAACACGCTTCTAGCCTTATGCAAGATTTTTCTGTAACTCTTCCCAACTTGTTGATTAAGTGAAAAATTATTTCATTTACCGCCATAGGTGAAACTGGCATATTCGAAAACTTGTAACTCTCTACATGCCCAAGCCACTACAAACCAAACTATCTTATCGAAGCAAATTAGCTGAATACGCAAACAAACAAACAAACCAACAAACAACTCTAGAGCTGTTTATGCTTGCGCACGAACCAAACATTTTTGGAATCATTTCTTCAGAATTCCTAGATAGCGAGCAGTAAAATAAGAGAAGGAAAAACGCCCACATTGCTGCGATTTTATCTGATTAGGTTCTAACACAGATAGCTGAAATGATTTCCTGGTTTCAAACGTGCAAATAACCAAAGGTTTTGCACCTTACGGATTCATGATGGCACACATTCCACATTGACAAAGAGAATGTTTTCATGAGATAAACATCAGAACGCGATCTTGACTGACGCTGTCATCACATGCCTTCGCCTGGCATAAGGTAACATATAGACTGGACTGGACTATTTCTTGTCCAATTTTTGGACCATTGTTTTGGACCAATTTATATGGGGGGGAAATCACGCCATTAGTACTCAGAGAGGGGTGGATGCAGTCTATAAGTACTGAGGGAGGGGTGGGAGACAGAGTGTTATTACTCAGGTAGGGTGGGTGGTGGTTGTAAATGTAAACACTACTGGTTAATGGAACTTTTACTCGATCGTGCAAATTATTTTAATCGGTTTTTCGACTGACTTTTTATATATCAAAATTTTTGCGCTGGGCCGCGGCGTTTCTTTAATTTTTTTTTGTCATACGAAAGCGAAACTGCCATGTAAACACTGAACTTTCATTTTTATTGAAAATATGGCGTTTACGATCCTCCACTGTCGAGTTATCCGTGTGCCTTTTGAGTCGACTTGTGCACCATCAGTTTTCCTTTGTGTCTACAGTATGTAATTACCAGATATCTTCCTCTGTCATTGATGTTAACAGACCAGATCACGCGCGGAATTTCCGGTCCTTAGCCCTTGACTTGGCAGCATATAGAATTCACAAGCGCTTTCGCAATTTGAACGTTTATACGTTTGCTATATAAAATAATTGTTGGTACAATCGTACAAAGAAACCTCTCGGGTGTCTCGAAAACACAGACCTCAAAAACGCAGACCGCAGGCCGCAGACCTCGAAAAGACAGACCCCGAAAACGCAGACCCCGAAAAAGCAGACCTCGAGAAAGGAAACTTCAAAAACACAGACCTAGAAAACGCAAACCTCGAAAAATTTGTTTCTGACATTTCGAAGAGAACCTTGGTTCACGCGCAGACGTCCAGCGTTGAGAGCGGGACAAAACCATATATGGCTACTGAAATAGACATTCCCTGGTTTCAAGTCGCGGTGTACCTCGACAATATCAATCACTGCCTTGAGAAAAAGCAGCGATTGATATCGGTGTTTGTCAGGCGGCAATAATGGATACAGATAAATAAGATAAGGTAAATTGCACTATGTTTCCATTTTTTTTCACTTAACAGAGTCAATGGAGAGGATCTATTTCTTAGCTTTGATGCTCAGCCTTGTGACTGCAAACTCAGGTAACTGTTAATAATTCCAATAAATTTAATAAAGAAAAGAATAATAAAAAAAAACGAGGCGCGTAATCCGGAAGATTTTACTACAGTTTTGATTACTGGAGAAGTCAGTTACGATGCAACATTATTTATGCTGACAAACGTCTGTATGACCCCAGGTATGACTTTCCCAAGAGTACAGGATCACAAACACTGGCGTTACGACGTCCCTTCATATCCCTAGCAATGTAATAGACTGTTATTCAAAGGCCGTTGCATTTAAAATTATATACATGTAAAAGTTACGGCATAGCCATCGGCTGTGAATGTCAAACAATCCCAAACAGTGCGAAAGTTGAAAAGGGAGTGCAGAAAACTTCAGACTTGACTTACACTTATTTATTCCAGTACAAATTGCACTGGAAATTGTTTTATCACTCTTGCAAATTTTCTCCGGTAAAACTAGTCTTTAAGATTTCTATATGCTTACATGGCTTCATTTTCGTTTTCAGTCGCTATGTCTGTGGAGACTACTATTAAAGTTAAGCGTACTTTTGCTTTTCTTTCAGTCGCATACCGGCGTCCTCCCGAGATCACAAATTTCCTACAAAAGGATTTAGTCAACCCAGAGGATGTTGAATTTAAAGGATTTAAACTGCCGTGTGGAGCTGCAGGGACGAATATTTCTTGGACGTGGAAACATAATGATACGGAGATCACATCGTTCAGGCGATCACCGCATTACTCTCTTAATGGAGATGGCACTTTAACTGGCAAATATTTATCTTCCCAACACAGCGGGACTTATCAGTGTATTGTTAAGGATAAGGACACTAAAATTGAAGTATTTAGCAGGAAACTTAAAGTCGCGATTACAGGTAAATCTTTTTAAAAGATGGGCAAACGAGATCAGATCAAGAAAATTAAACAGATCGGATTAGCCATCATGTTACAAAAGAGCGTAACACTTGGCTGCTTCTCTTTCCATCCTCTTTGCCTGCATAGCAGGCCTTCCTGTTTCTTTTAAATGAAACAGAAAAGATTCGCAGTCACGTGGCTTGTGCAGTAGTGGAGTTTCATTACCATCCCACCCCCACTGGGTTTGTGCTAACTGGCCACCTCTC